CCAAAAATATTCAAAGTGAACCCAGTGGATTCCCGTTTTATGGGATTCTTCTTTGCACCGCCCAAAGCCGTCCGTCTTGCCCCCGGTCAGCCATGAAGTATTCTTTTAACCGGTTCCCGCCACCCCTGTTCCCCAGACCGGGTGAAACGTGTTCTTCCAAGAGTTCGTTGAGTATTTCTGCGAAACTCATCCCCACCCCGCCCCCTGAGGGTTCCGTACCGTAGATGGTCCGCTGAAATGCGAAATCCGCCCCAGTCCATTATTAATAATCCAGGACAGCCTGGACTCCAGTCACATATGGGGCGGTATCCAAATACTCGTTGAAGTTCGGAAGTGACGCCGTCGAGTCCCTTTGCACCTTGGGGTCTTCCGTACATCCACATGACGGAGGGTTTGTTCGCTTGGAACTTTCTGGAGCCGGTTCCACCTTCTTTTTTGGCCGGGTGGGGAATCCGCCAACTACGGGAGAAAACCATTACACCACAAAAGCCTTTTCGTAGCAATGAAACAAAATCCTGCCCCTACACTGGGTATTTCCGTACTGAGGAGAATCTTACGGCGAATAAAAATACCTATTAGTTCTGAAAGACGACGCCAGCCACTATTGCGAGCTGGTAAAATGTGAAACGCCGACATGTACAGTTGCAACAGATGCAATTATGCAATGGCATAGCCGATTTGGAATTCCGCTAGTATGGATTAGTGACCAAGGATCTCACTTTAGGAACGAAGTGATTCACGAGTTGTGTACAAGACTGAAGTGCAAGCAAATATTCTCACCAGCATAGAGCCCAAGGATAAACGGGTCAATTGAGCGTGTTAACAAAGACATATTAGAGTACTGATACTGGACTACAAGCTCCACTCTAGAGACTGGCCGCGGCTAATCCCGGTTGTGCAAGCAAGTTTAAATCACACCGCAGTATCGTCATTGGCTGGAAGCCCCCCCCCCCGAGATTTTTACTGGATTGACGACGCCTCCATCTCCATTAAAGGCAGTATATCCGGGACCTGAAATTGCAGAAGGAGTCAAATCAGCTCGCTCGTCAGCAGAAATTGAGGCTAGTGTGGACAAATTACGTATCAGTGTGAGGAACCTGCACAGCGCGGTTGAAGATGCCCGTCTCAAGCAAACACTGCTGAACAAGAAATGGGAGTGCGGTGATAACATGGTTAACTTTGATGTGAGCGACTATATACAATGATCACGAGGGGATGAGAAGACGCAGAACAAACTTCTCGTCACGTGGATAGGACCCTACGCGGTCACATCAGCACACCAGCATAATATTTTCAAAGTTAAACAACTCTTCACTGGAAACGAGACGGCGGTGCATGTTTCAAGACTCAATCTCTTCGCGGATAAAAATTTAGAAGTAACTGAAGCGCTTTTGGCTGTCCAAGGTGTTATTTTCCGAGTTTGTGAGCTGCGACAACATCGATGGAATGGCCAGAACAAAATGTGGTCGGGTAGCATGGGTTGGAAAGCATACAGTAGAGGATTTGTGGGAACCTCTGACAGGGATGTATAAAGACGTGAGAGCGTTTGTACTGTCCAACCCTATGTTGTGAATACCTAGGGTACGAACCTTCAGCGTGCGCTGGAAGCACTCGAAGTATCAGCTAAACACTGAGGGTATTACAGTATACGAGTGTATATCTGGTAAAAACGGATGAGGTGTGTCATTATGGGTATTTGGACATTCTAGTACACTGTTGATGCAACTTGAGCAAGTTGGATCAATACTGGTGTAACAAGTTGATGACGTGGTCTACCGAAGATCTTTCGGAAGAGTGTACCTTGGCACGTAGCCAGCTTCAACGTGCAAAGGGTGCGACCAAAGGGTGGAAGGAGTCCAACGGATTCAACGGACACACGGTTAGGACGGAGATCGCAGACGGCGAGCCGTCGCAACCGGTGGCGTTAGACGGCAGGAAGAGCAAGGACGTGAGTACTTCCGAATTTGCAAAGGACGAGACAAGTAGGTCGAAGAGTGAGACGAGAGACGAAAGACGGTCGAGGGCTGGAAGTACAGTCAGCGACAAGACAAAGACGAAAGAAAGGGCTGTTGAGGCACAGAGTGTGGCTGACAGAACGTACGGGGTTGTGGTGGACGCACTGCAGTACCGTGAAACGGAGAACAAGTAGGATCCAAGGAGGAGAACGTACGGACAAGCGGAGCGACGTACGGTGAGACCAGACAGGGGAAGTAGAGTACCCGAGTTCGCTGTGGTGGCCGCGCACGAGTAGGGTAGGCGCCGTGGGCGTACGCCCAAGTGGCTTTGAGATTGAGCGTGATCTGGATCGCATCGGGACGTCACGGTGCTTCGGCGAGGACGTGGGTGATCTGACTAGGAGACTATCTGTTCAGGGACGGAGAAGGAAGAACGAAAACGAAGAAAGAACCTCTATTAGCCTACGTAAGGTTAGCTAAGGAGAAGGAATACAAAAAGTAGGAGCCAAAGGTTCCGGCACAGGGCTCAGTGGAGCATCTGTTGGCCAGTGACGTCTTCGAGTACTATCAAGTAACAACTACGGACTAGGGACAGACAGCGCAGCAGGCACATAAACTATACGATTTGCCCAGCGAGTCGGGCAGGAGGAATAGCAACTCGTTACATGGTGGTCATACAGGGGCTATCTCAGAGCAACGAAGAGAGTTCAGAAAGACAGTGG